GTGCTAAAATAGAAAATTCGCAATGACGTCATCAGTCGCATCGATTATTGCGATTATTGGGCGTGAATAACACAAATTATAGGTTAAGTTGCCGCGATAAGCTACCAAAGTTCATGTTTTGAAGAAAGTAAATAGACTGTGCGTAATGTGTTGTCAGTTAGCTAGATATGACGGAAATTAACACTGCTCAATCAAATTGATACGGGCAATTTACCTAACTCGAGAGCTACTAATATACGTCATATACCCTTGTTTCTTTCACACATTTTACGTCAGATCGTTCACTGTCTCGAACACAACACTGTAACAGATCCATCTAGACACATGCATACATACTTAATTCAAATTGACTATATTTCCTAGGTATACATTCTCCAAGAAAAAAACCTTAAACCAACCTCACCATCTAGCATTGTGGCTTAAAAATCGGACCGGATCAAGACACTCTTTCCATTTAAATCTTTCATTTAGAAGTTAACGGACGTTTGCCATGCGAATTTACAATTTAATTTATTTAAAAATATAAATTTTCACGACAAAACATAACGTTAAAATGTGCACAAATCTGGTGACTGGTGGTAAACAACATTTTCATGTCTACTGACAACAAAATATTTTGTCGAAAAATATTTATGCACAGATTGTTATTTGAAAGACCACACTTTATAAAACATTGTTGTATGTTTAACCATGAGAAACGAAAAATACTGCTATGATTTTCTAGATGTGTACCTCGTTACCAATGACGATACGATTCTTCTCAGGGAATTATTAAATGTTAAAAAGGTCAAAATGACTACGATTCTCTAAATACTGAACTCATATCGCAGAGTATCACAGCGTTGCTCGGGATACGGGTACATCGATCTGCAAGATTATGCAATTAGGTTTCTTACACGTTCGTGTTTTGTCGCTGATATTTTCATAAATTTTAAAAATCATAATACCTATCCTCGGGGCGGAGCTACGTCACCAGACGTTCCACGTTGCTAAGACGCGCACCGCTGTACATGCATTTGTATGGGCTTTGTGCGCGCTGCTGTAGAACGCCGGTCGAGCCGGTGAAAATTCGAGAAAACAACACAAACTCAACTTTGAAGTGATCCCGATAAAACAAATTTATATATGTTACACACGTAGAGCTAATCTTGTTTCTGCGAGTTTTTGGCCTTTGTTTTCACCGCGAGGGTTGCCACACTAGATGTCCGCCCCCGAGGATAAGACGCCGGGCATATATTTTAACATAGCTATTTAGAGACACAGCAAAATCCGTGTTTGTGCAAAAAATATGAAAATACTTCGACAATAAAAATGTTCAATTTGCTGTAACCTGAACCGGCAAAATGTTACCAAGTCACACACACCTTTCTCGTATCAATATTTATTCGGTTATTTTCGTCTCTATTCGGAACAGTGATGATGGAATTTTATCTCATCAATCTTTCCTATGACGTCACAAGAAGGTTATTCATACCGGAAATTTCGAGGAAGCACTAGATTACAAATTTTGATTGATAAGAACGAGGTTAATTTGCACAAGACGTTGTTTAATGTCAAATGGTTTTGATGTAGTCACGGTGCGAAAATAATGAAAGCTATTAAAATGTGCAATATATTATAGGAGAAAACTTTCCAATCAATGTTGTTGTAAATAATATAAAACTGGAAGGACACTAATTTGAATATTATTTTTTAACAAAAATAGTGTTCAAATTGTGACACCGAGTAAAATTTCGAGATATGAAGATATGCATTCATTCACCTTCAAAACCCAGGTGACAAAATACAGACTGAATGCATGATGACATTTTCATTAGTGTTTTCCTGAAAAAACATCATTTTATTCATTTGCTTACCATAATAGCAAAAAGCAATAATATGAATGTACGAGGAAACTTACATCTAAGCATAAATTCGAATTCAACATCATTAAGGATAAAGATTTCTTATTACGTGACTGGGTGACGAAGGGATGTATGTTTGTTTGTAAGTCTTTTTCCTCTAAATAATGTTATGCTTATGTTTGGTACATATAAAGGCAGGCAAGGGCATACTTTCGGAAATTAAATATTTCTATTTAGAATTACAGGATCTACAATTGAATTTCTCATGCATATATTAGCAAACAGAATTTAAACAAAATATCAAATGAATTGAATTCGTGTATGTCTTCTATGAGGACATACCCATAATTGAGTATGCACAAGTCAATCTTGCATTCCACGAACAGGTGTTACATTAAATCTCAGACAACTAATAACTTATTTATTAGTTGTCTGAGATGTGATGTGTGTTTTTGACAGACCTTAAACTCAAATGGTCGCCACGGGATCACATTGAAAGCAAGATAACCACGAGATCACGTTGAAAGCGATATATCCACGAGATCACGTTGAAAGCGAGATAACCACGAGATCACACTGAAAGCGAGATAACCACGAGATCACGTTGAAAGCGAGATAACCACGAGATCACGTTGAAAGCGATATATCCACGAGATCACGTTGAAAGCGAGATAACCACGAGATTACACTGAAAGCGAGATAACCACGAGATCACGTTGAAAGCGATAAATCCACGAGATCACGTTGAAAGCGAGATAACCACGAGATCACACTGAAAGCGAGATAACCACGAGATCACGTTGAAAGCGATATAACCACGAGATCACGTTGAAAGCGAAATAACCACAAGATTTTGCTCCTGAAATGGCGTTTTCTTCTGTTAAACTATTGGTTACTGCTGATGAAACGTCACATGATTTGAATATATTGTTATATATGAAATCAATCACTGTGACAATAGATGTGCATTAATGTCACGATATTAAATATTCAAACAAATATATATCAAGAAGACGATGAGCGAGGTTAATATAAAAATATTGACCCGGGCCAAAGTCGATATATAGCTGTGTTGACCCGAAGAGAGCATGGAGCATTGACCACTCTCTGAGTGTCGACAAATCTGTATATCGACCAAGGCTAGGGTTAATATCTGTATTATAAAGAGTAAAACATTTCGTAAAAGGATGAATCGCAGGATTTCTCTTGCCCAAGTTCTCAATGACAACATTCAAAATGTTTTCTATTCACAAGTAGCTTTTTCATCATACTTCCAATGGTTCCCTCCAAAATGACATTTTACATTCACATTTAATGTTTTTGTAGGTAACAACTATCTACGCCGGACAACTGTCTGACATTTTCGAAACCGTGATGTTTATACATAAACGCTCACTACACTGAGGGTTAATCGGACCCTGATCGGAGCCAAATAAAACGCAATATAATAACATATTACTGGTTAAATCCGAGTGACGGCGGCACAGCCCCCCCCCCCCGTAATAATGTTGGGGGGCGTCGCCGAGTAAAAAAAATTACCTTGATGAAATAAATAGAAGCACTAAACGCAAGTAGTTAGGTACATGTTGCGGCGACTGCGGTTGCACTGACTGATTTAATTGTGTTGTTTGATGATTATCTCCCGGTTACAGTTATTCACATCGAACATAACTCGGTCCAAGTAAATAAAAATGCCTCGTTGAGCCGAAAATGTTACATCGCGTCTGCAAAAATAAAACAAAAGAAGTATTTAAACACGTTTTTGGGTGATCCAGTGAAATGAATTATCATCGAGCTAAGAGAGGACTGTGAACATATTTTAACATATGCATCCTTGATTTATTTATCTAAACATAGTCGAATGTATTTTGTGGTTATAGCTTTAATTCATTGAACTAGGTAGAGCGACGAAGAAATATTTGGCAGGCATATTACGAACATATAAACATGAAAAAAAATTCGAACTGTCGAGCACTGTGAAGCGCTCCTTCACAATGAGATGTACTATGTGTTGAATCAGTGGTACATCTTGTTTTGATTTGTGGAATACTTAGTAATATAAACGTAACACACCCTTTGTTCCAGCTATTAGTAAATGCGTGCGCGTCTGTGTTCCGCTAAAAAAATCAAGTTATTACACTCTGACGTCGGGCACAAATATTGTTCAAATCAGAGTCTCTCGAATGTTGCTTGGTAGTTAGCAATCATTGGCTCGAGTACTGTAACTGTATATCGTTCTTTATTGTCGGTAAGATTATTTTCCCCCGCCATCGAACTAAGTTTAAATATTACAGGGCGGCAGCTATGCATCTATAGTGACAGCGATTCATCATAAAGAGTGACCGAGCAGCAATGATTATTTGAGTCTCTAGATTTTTCAGCAAACACTATACTACCTATGTTACCGGCTATTATGAGTTTACAATTATTCTCAGGGCTTTTGTCTTTGCCTTTATCTCTAACTACGATATGTAGTTTGGAACGGTGTAAGCGGGTTTTATGGTCTATGTGTGTAACAATAAAAGGTTTACCCGGTGGTGGAGGAGAAGACGTGCCGAAACGTATTTATGTATGACGAGTCACGCACGCAGTAGATTTTACTTTGTATTTACTGCCGTGTATTAGGTGTCATTTTTTGTGCTTGCTCCTAGATGACGTAGTATGACGTAGTTGAAAGTGCAAGCCTAGTATCACAACATAGCACAATCTGCCGGCAATTGAATCGCATCATTCACGCATGAGCACATGTATTGGCAAATATGTCCATGATTTACGTTATTGTTACTTTGGTATCAATCCCATATACGTTTTTCGTGTTTAAGTTAATCTCAGTCGGAAATGGCGTACGTCCGATGAAACGTATACGATTTACTTAGTATGAAAAGAATGTCCAGCCCACGTACTGGCATTTAAAAGCAGAGTTGTATCGGCTCACAGCGACAGCCACATCTACGCTACTTATCCACAGTTATGACTTTCTTCGAGCTAACTAATATCCATATTATTTTGATAACGTTTGCAGTATGCTTGTGGGCCGCTTACAGTTTGTCCTATCTATGGTATGGCCGACATTTTCCAGACGGACCTTTCGGCTGGCCTTTGGTCGGTTGCTTACCTTCTTTCGTTGGAGGCCAACCACACAGAAAACTCGTTGATATGGGTCGTAGATATGGTCCTGTATTTAGTCTTAGGCTCGGTACACAGTTAGTCGTTGTGGTGAATGGCTACCGCGCAATTAGAGACGCATTGGTAAAGAAGGGTGAATTCTGCAACAGTAGACCACATATGCCGATTATGGAGCGAACAACCAGGCGAAATGGTGAGTTTACTGACCTATATTATTTTTTGATGATTATGAGATATATATATATATATATATATATATATATATACAGTCGAAAAGTGCTGTTTTTTAGTTCGCCCCCTAATTTAAAACCTCAATTAAATTACGACATCTGAGTCGTAGTTTAAGGTAGAGATGCAGTATACCTGACATGTATTTTAGTTAGTTAATTAGGCAACCAAGATGACCTCCCTTGTCCACAAAACTAACTATTTTCGGAAAGCTTATTGTATGAATTTTAAAGTTTTGTTAGTATTTTTTTATGGACACTGTAGTTTGAAATATACACAAAAATGTGCTTTTTTGGTCAAAAGTGATTTAAAAAAAATTTGCTTCTAAACCATTCTTCTGTTTCCTGTTTATGGATACATTTGTTTACTATGAAGAAAGTGCCGTCTTGAAAACTGTCTACCAGTTGTCAATTTTGCAGGGCAGCAGCTCAAATTTCACTATTTCAAGTTTATGCATAAATTAACACACAGGCTAGTTGTCTGTACGATTGCTGTAACACTGTTCAACCAAAAACAATGCCCCGACGGCGTTTTGAAGATAAACACATTGTCAATCATTTGTGAAAATTTCAAAACAAAGGGTCAAAGCGTCTAGGAGCTAGTTTGTTTAAAGTTCTGGGATGTGCACTAAAACGAAGCTGAGATAATTGCTAATTTGCATAACAATTCACTCAGTAAGAAGTTTGCTAATACTCATAATTAAAATGGCTGTAACAGTTCAAAATTTAAATGTATTATCTTTTTGTTAAAGTTAAATATAGTGCATAATATGGAGATCCCGTCATTTCTTTTTTTCACCATGTTTCTTTTTTATTATTTATGTACAGCCTTGCTAAATCTTGCTAAGCATACAAAAGAGAGAATGTTTGCACTTATTATCTATATTTTAAAATCGTTTTTTGAGTATGTTCCACTATTCACAATTCTACAAAATTTTAACAGTCTATAGCCAAGACTGATTGGATAATAAAAAGCAAAAAAAAAAAAAATATTTCACACCCAAGTGCCCATGAACCTGCGCATCTACCTTAATGGCTGATATTCCTTTTGAGGATTTCCGGTGTAAATTACCCATAAGTCTTAATGATATCTGTTATAAAGCAGGTGTCGCTTGATAAAACGTGTGTCAGTTAACTATACTATAAATACACTTATTGCGTAGAATAGCGTAGTGTATTGTACAATCCCAACTTCAAAATACAATACGTCGATAATTAGTCATTCAATGTTTGAACACACGAGGGAATGTAACAAAAGATTACGTGTATACAATGAAATGACATACTAGTAACCGTTCATTGGTCACTTATAAAAGAACACGTGTGTATAATGTATGTAAGTAAATCAGGCCAACGCATAGGGTAACATTTGCATATCACGTATATGATGCTTTGAAAGTTCTTTCCAATGTTCTTTCCAATTTCAACGGTCATTTTTTTTGTAGCACTAGTTTTGAGCAACACGGACGACATTGAACTTGAAAGGCATGCTGGTTGCTAGGGTACAACAATACAAAACAAGGAGATGGCATGTGGCAATTTGGGCGTCGATCGCATTTCTTGTTTATTGCAAGTCATGCGGGTCATTTGCCCGGCATACTTCGATGCTAATAGATAACAACTTGTATCAATAGATGCGGTTCCCGTTCACTGTGAGACCTCGCGTATTGAAGGCGCGGACTGAACATCTTTCGCATAAATTGAATGATTTGATTTTGAACTTGAATTTATTATTTTAGAATCTAAAGTTGAAACATGAATATCACAGGTACCATTATTTCTTCAAAATTGACCATCATCTACTGTTATAGCTCATCCTTGAGCGTGGAAATACACACACTACGCGATGTATTGCCACCACTACGACGCTTCGACCTTTGTTTGTCCTGTTTTTGCATACGATTTCACGCATTGCGCGGTATCTCGCAGTGAACACTATTACACTAAAAAGTCAAGTTGGAAGCATTGACCTCTACATGAAATTTGGGTTTACTAGTGTTCTTTGTGCATGGTGTTCGGCATCCATTTACCCGCCAAATGCGTACTGTTTGAGGAGTCTGTTATTTTTTTTAGCAATGTTTGACAGAATATTTCTCATAATTCGCGTGTGAAGATTTGAAGTTGGAACGAAGCGATTATACCGATAGCCATGCTGGCTTAGATGATTATTTCATCGGGGATTTGCTGCAAACTAGCATAACTAATGTAACCTTTTTTTTTTCCAAACAATTTTAGATTATTTTATTTCGAACAATAGAGGTCAATGATCGTCGTGCAGTCAGTGTGCATGTGGAGGTCATGTCAACCAACAATGTACTTTACACCCATTGGATGCGTCACCTGAAACCCATATCGTGCACGATGACCATCACAAAACAAACTGATATAAAACCATCTTAAAAATTAAGAAAACTATTTAGTAAAACTAAAATATTGAATTTAGTACATAGCAGAACAAAGCAATAATAAGCAAAGAACCGGGCGTCTCGATAACCAACAACCTTAGTGACATGCAGTCAGACATTGAATACCATACCTTCGATAAAACGCTCGATCCCATTAATTTGACAACATAAAGAACACGTGTTTATGCTGACTGCGTCACACGGTGGTAGTACATGCCAATTAAATACCTCATTCAAACTTCCGAACATACTGTCGAAGACTGGCACTCGAAAAATTGATTTTACGGTAATACAACAATATATACTAAATAAATTGTATTTAAAATGTTTATATATTATTTTTTAGTTCTCAAGAGACCGGTGAATTAGGTTAGGGTGCAACATATGACTATATGGGACCATTTTTTTGAAAGCAAAAAAAATAACTACAGTACGAAATTTGTGTAAACAGTGTATTTTACACGTGTTGTTGACGTCACGGTCGCATAGAATCCATATTCAGTTTAACACAACGTGGTGCTAATAATTTGACGTTTGTTATTGTGTTCCTCGAGCTCTGCCGTCGATCGCCAGATTTGCATCCCATACAGTACCCTCTCTCCCCTGGCTACTAAGACTGAGATACTACTAGCAATTGCAGGCATTGCGTTTGAATCCGTCCATTTAGTATCTACTATATTTTCTCGGCGGCTACCTTTTAACAGTTAATCTAATAGTTTCTCAGACGAAGGAATTGTTCTCGGGTTAGGGTTCGATGTGGTTCGCCGTCAGGGGAAAATAAGTGACGCTTTCTGGGTTGCATTTGGGGAATGTTTCTTGGGAATCGCATAGCTGATATTTTAACTTCTCAATAATATTTTCGCAAATACTAGTAACTGCATGTAATTTTCTTCATTTATAATTTAACACACACTCAGAGTTGCACGTTCCGAGGTCTAAATGTACATCAACGCAGAGTGGTGAGTCGTACTGAACCCACCTGTCGTCCACCCAGGCTTCTACCGTCTACCCTGCACTCTGTCTCCCCTGTACTCTACTATACTCTAACTCTGACTCTGACTGAACTTACTGTCGTATTTCGTAAAGTTGCATTGTGGGATGTATCGTGTTACCTTGAGATCACTACGCTCTCTTGCGAATCATGCGAAATGGAGTGCGCCCACAGCGACTGAGTGAACTACAATTCGGGCAGCAATCTCTTCTGTGATTGCTCATATAGCCAAAGGGAATACTTTCAATGTACTTTTAGGTGTATCTCAGACTGGAGACACAAATATTGTTATGTGTGCCACTGTGGCTACGTCGTGGTAAAACAAATAGCGGTCACTTGTTCACTATTACCGTGATGTGAGCAGAATATCCAAGCAGTTTTTTTGAACGGCTTCCTCGTAATTTCTCATCATGAAATCTACTACGTCAACATCGAGACGAAACACGTCCATTTTTATATGACGACATATACTTTTTTAATTTCAGGCATAGTGAATGCTGTTTTTGGGCCCTCTTGGAAGGAACAGCGCACCTTTACCTTACACGTGCTGAGAAATTTTGGCATGGGACGATCCATTGTCGAGGATCGGGTCTCGGAGGAGTGTCTCCACCTCAAAAAGGCAATAGAGAGCTTCGACGGCAATTCGTTCGATCCTACACACGTGTTGACCAATGGAATAGCTAATATCATATCATCTATCATATTCGGTGGCAGGTTTGAATATGACGACCCATTTTTTAGAACACTGCTTCGTCTCTGCAATAAAAACTTTGAATTGGCGGGCAGTGTGGCCATATCCAACTTTTTCCCGGTCTTACAATATATACCCTTCGGTCCGATGCGAGAAATTGTTGACAATTTCGAAATATATCGAAAATTTTTAAATGGTAAGATAGAAGAGCATCGTCAAAGTTTCGATCCTGACAACGTCCACGATGTAGTGTCTGCTTATCTCCATGAAATGAACAATAGAAAAGAAGAACAACGCGAGCCCGGCCATTTTAACGACGACAACTTATTCGCCGTAGTTAGTGACTTATTCGCTGCCGGGACTGAGACCACATCGACCACACTGAGGTGGGCTGTTCTATACTTCGCTTTATATCCCGACGTTCAAAAGCGAGTTCAGGCTGAACTTGACGAGGTGGTTGGCATGGGAACCCCGACTTTGGCTAACAGACGACAACTACCGTATACAGAAGCTACTATACACGAGATACAGCGCATGAGCAGTATAGTTCCGCTGTGTATCCCACACGCTGCCAGCGAAAACACCGAAATACTTGGGCATTACATTCCGAAGGACACGGTGATTATGGTGAATTTATGGTCGGCCCTCAACGACCCAGACACCTGGACAAACCCAGAACAGTTCAACCCAGAACGTTTCCTTGACGACAAAGGCCAGGTGGAAAAACCCGATGAGCTGATTCCGTTTAGTATAGGTAAGCTATGTTGCCATGGTACCAAAGTTTGGATTGTAAGTAATAACAGTGAACGGTAATTGTAATTATTATTAATTTCAAGTTTTTTCAAGGAAACATTAATTTGTCTGCATTATCATGATCATTACATTCACCGTCGATATAGCGTTAGAACTGCAAACAAGATCATAGAAGATGGCCAAAGAAAAGTAAAACTAGCAGTCTGTCGGCTGAGATAGCTCCGCTGTTACCAATGCACATTTCAATGGAAGAACTGAAAATATCATCAGAAAATGAACAATATGTATAGTATTAAAGCAATCAGACTTGTTATAATTTTCTATCAAAAATATTCATTAAAATTAGATAATTGAAGAACAAAATCATCACGAAATGAAAATATCTGAGATAGGTCTACCTGTAGTACCTATGTAGTATATATAATATCAAAGCAATTTTACTTATACGGTTATTAACAAGAAGTCGAAAATATCACTTTTTACCAAAAATTACAAAAATATTCATGAAAATTAGAGAATTAAAGATATCATCACGAAATGAACAGATCTGAGAGAGTTTGACATGTAGTACTCACGTATGTAATATCTAAGCAATCGGACTTGCGGTTTTTAATAAGAAGTCGATAATATCACTTTTTACCAAAAATATTCATCAAAGTTGGAGAATTAAATATATCATCACAAAATGAACAAATCTGAGAGAGGTTGGCATGTAGTACTCACATATGTAATATCTAAGCAATCGGATTTGTAATTGTTAACAAGAAGTCGAAAATAGAGAATTAAAGATATCGTCACAAAATGAACAAATCTGAGAGAGGTTCATTGCGAAAAACCCAATGATCATGCTTTGTATAATGTGTCCAAATCATGATATGAACACGTGAATGGTGCGTGGTTGACGATCAGCGTAGTATTCTCACGGGCATGGTAATGGTTACTCCGTGGGTACGCATCACGAGGATTACGTTGGTGTTCCCCAGAAACCCTAACGCTAGAACATAATTATCTTACTTTTTTTAGCAAATTTTCTAGCAACCCCCATAATTTTATATGATTGACCTCTAGAGAAATGAGAAGTTGCCCATGTATATGCCTTTCTTTCAATAAGAGCATCACAAAACAAATGATCGCATAGACCTACATGCACTCTGCCTTTTCGCACTTATGCATCATATTTTCTTATGCATCATAGTTTCTTATGAATCATAGTTTCTTATGCATCATAGTTTCTTGTGCATCATAGTTTCTTATGCATCATAGTTTCTTATCCATCATAGTTTCTTATGCATCATAGTTTCTTATGCATCATATTTTTCTTATGCATCATAGTTTCTTATCCATCATAGTTTCTTATGCATCATAGTTTCTTATGCATCATATTTTTCTTATGCATCATAGTTTCTTATGCATCATAGTTTCTTGTGCATCATAGTTTCTTGTGCATCATAGTTTCTTATGCATCATATTTTTCTTATGCATCATAGTTTCTTATCCATCATAGTTTCTTATGCATCATAGTTTCTTATGCATCATATTTTTCTTATGCATCATAGTTTCTTATGCATCATAGTTACTTGTGCATCATAGTTTCTTGTGCATCATAGTTTCTTGTGCATCATAGTTTCTTATGCATCATATTTTTCTTATGCATCATAGTTTCTTATGCATCATAGTTTCTTATGCATCATATTTTCTTATGCATCATAGTTTCTTATGCATCATAGTTTTTTGTGCATCATAGTTTCTTGTGCATCATAGTTTCTTATGCATCATAGTTTCTTATGCATTATATTTTTCTTATGCATCATAGTTTCTTATCCATCATAGTTTCTTATGCATCATATTTTTCTTATGCATCATAGTTTCTTATTCATCATAGTTATTTATGCATCATATTTTTCTTATGTATCATAGTTTCTTATCCATCATAGTTTCTTATGCATCATAGTTTCCCAACTGGAACTCAGTTCGTTTTCTGAAATTATATTTGTTCACAATCTGTCGGACTGTATTATACGTTTAGAGTTATCTGATCAACTGCATATAGCTTTTGTTGTGTCTTACAGGACGACGCGTTTGTTTGGGTGAGCAGCTAGCCAAGACGGAATTGTTTTTGATAATTACACAAATCTTGCATCAATTTACTATAACCATTGCAGAAGAAGAAAATCAAGACATGGCATCGCTATTGAAGCCCGTCGCCGGTATCACTCTGTCGCCACAACCATACAAAATACAAGCAGTTAACCGACACGCATTGTAGATGTGTATGACTCTTTTTTGTATTTAAATATTGTTTTTATTTCGTTTCAATAATATAAATATACAACACACAAAATATTGCATTATTTACTTTTACATACACGTTTCAATAGAAAAACTTTCAAGTGTTCAATGTCAACTTTATACTACCTGACTGTATAATGCCAACTTTCACCGTAAATAACAACTGTTGGATGACGTTCCGGTCCGCTGAAAAGGGTCCAGCTTTAGAATATGACGTCATAGTCGTCGCCAGTGCACTCTGCTAAAATGTTCTCTCACTAATTTAGATGCGAACAGGACATGTGTATGTAGCTGATTTCGTACAGTATTGTTTCGAAAAGTTGTTTCCAGAATTTACGGTTTATAAACATACATGATTTATAGATTTGAGAAATGTCGTTGACCAATCAGAAAGATCATCGTTAGGTCACTGCGTATGAATACAAGCTTTTGAAATGGACTACCTGCTGCAATCTGCGCGTGTGTGTGGACGTATCGATCGGAATCGGAACTATTTCATCGCGAATTATTATGTCTCAATTCCGGTAAATACGCCTCTCAAAAGGCAATGTAGACAAATTTCACCACTTTCGGTTTATAAATCGGGCGCATTACGATAGTTTGTCGTCATTATACAGCAGACAGGTCGTACTCCCCACTCTCCACATCGACAAAGTCATTATTTTCTATGACCACATACCCTTTCACTTTAATGATATTTCAATATATGTATTGTGTAACCATTGTATATTCTATAACGTTATTTATCTGCCAGTGTGAAATGGCAAAGAATAAAATCATTACTCATTCATTACATATATGTTCTTAATGTTCTTATTGTACTGATCGAAATACATTAAATAACAAACAACAACAACAGGAAGAACAAAAACATGTGTAAGTTATACTACAAACCATATACGGCGGGGTCTTCGCCATGTGCTAATCTACGATGCTAGTGGTATCTAAACCCGGGATTTAAACCTTTCATCTGTTTCAAGGGGAATTTTACTCATCGTTTACGACAAGGATTCCTTATCTGATTTGGGTAGCAAAATTGTTGACTTGCTCAATTTTGCTCACCGAATTTATGCAAGGTTCCACTCGCTATACACCACTTTACTAACACGTAACTGCATTCAGATTTATGCAAACGAAACACACTGTGAATAACTTACGTCATAGGCGTCTCGAGAAATACGAAATGAGATATTACTAGCATTATAGCTAGGCGTTGGTATGGTGACGTATATCTAGTGGAACGCTATTTAGATTCTAGGCTATACAATGACATATTACTGGCCAAGAACCGATGCGACGTTTCATTCGCTGCACGACATTCCGTATATTACGCCAGTGTTACCTCGTTACCCATTCATTGAGGCAAACCGGCGTTACACACAATAAGGAATGGTATAATGGTCTAGAGAAATAAAGTACGCCATGAGATATTACAAGCATCGTAGCTAGGCTGTAGTGCAGAGACAATTTCATTTATTAAGTGTGTAAGTTCCAATCAATATCCAATAAATTATGTATTTTAGTAATAGTCTTTGTCCACAGTTCTACCGTGAAGCTGTTTTCATTTGGCTTGGTAATTGAACATTCAACAACGTATGGTACTACAGGTTATTGCTGCGTTATGGCACGGTATACGGAATGCAAATCCCTCACCGTGTCTCTTATATAACCGATGACACCCCGCCTTGTAATTTGCGACGGCCGAGCCGTGTAAATTGCGAACTCAGACAAAGAACCCCTGCCGCAAAAGGTGACTGAAATTTCCCTACTGATAATTACCCAGCGACTTGATAGCCTTGTATTCGAAACTTGTTATTATCCAACAGCGTTATAAAACTTTTCGATACGGCACAATATGCAGTGAGTGTACAAAACAAACAAATATTTCGTAATATACACATGCTTGCTAGATTTGTTCCCATGACAACAACTGACTCACGTTCACGATGAATTTCTATCACTGCAATAAAATGGCAAACAGACAAATAAGCGGGCCATTCGAATAACAAAAACATAATACACTTCACGTAAGTCACCCCCTCTACATACACACATTGTCAAACCTGTCAACAGAACACAAACTCACTCGCTCACGTTCCCACTTATCCACGTGATATACCACGTGACCTGTTCGGAAAACAGTTAAACAAACAACACATTACAGTACAGTACCAATTATCAGTTGTTATGAACTTTGACCTTGTTTTGCTTCGAACATTCATCTTGACGACGCCATGTTACAAACGATCCCTATATCGGTCGGGTGGTCGACTCTTTGCGTATTTCTACTTGTGTTGTTGTTGTACTATACATACGTATATCTCAGTCGACGCAGCGGCCTCCCGCCAGGTCCCATTGGATGGCCAGTGATCGGCAATCTTTTCCAGCTCATGCGAGACAAAGCGGGCGTGCACGTCGCCTTAGTAAAACTGGCTGAAAACTATGGCGATGTTTTTAGCCTATATTTCGGTTCCAAACTGGTCATTATTTTAAATGGATATGACGCTATACGGGAGGCATTTGTTAACAGAGCTGATGTACTGAACAATCGACCCAGTTTGTTGGTCCTAGAAATGCTGTCAAACGGCAAAGGTCAGTCTATGTTATTCAAAGGTCACCATCAGTTACAATAAGCAATGCCTTCTTTTTGTATTTGACCTGCCGTTTTTGTGTGTTTATATTCCGTTAAAGTGTCATTCATTACTAGTACACCCTTTCTATAAGTCGCCCTCTAGTGATAGGGAACTTCTGTGACATATAAGAATAAAAACAGTGTCGTTCAAATCTAGAACTGCGTTGGTTGTATATTCTTTCATCAATCTATAGGAAAATATAGATAAAATCTCTCAGATCTACAGATCGAAACGATATCGACGCTTTGATCGTCACTAGTGTGTGCGGTCTTACGTTTTCCAGATTAGTAATCGCAGAACGGCAACAACATCGATTCAATCATTCTCGCTCACTAGATTATGTTTCTTCCTTTGCATACACACTCTGACAAAACTCACAAACAAGGCTAGTATTTGGGAATTGAGGTTTGAATATTTATGACGCCTTGAAAGTAAATGACCAATCAGCGCTCCGGTTTTAGAACGAAGGCACGGATCTCCTACTTTTTCATGTATTGACTGGTTCCATGTGATATTTTATTGTTTTTAGTCTGTTATTATTGTTCAACAGGAATTGTCGGGGCGAATGGACATGATTGGAAAGCACAGAGAACATTCTTTCTAAAAACATTGCGTCGAATCGATGTCGGTCAGTCACGTAAACTCGAGCATCACATACTAGAAGAATGTGAATTTCTTATTAATGAAATCGAATCTCTAGAGGGCGCCCTGTTTGAACCTACAGACGTGATTAGTCATGCTGTTGCCAACATTATATGCTTCTTTACGTTTGGTCGAAGGTTTGAATACTCGGATGGGAAGTTCAAAGAGCTCTTGAGTATGCTTCGTCGTTTGATGGGAATCGTAGGGAGTGCGGCAGCCATTCATTTTTTTCCTATGATGAAAATCTTCATGCGAACGAAATTTAGACAACTTGCGAAAGTGAAAGAGGAGGTGTTTACTTTGGAACGAGAGATAATTGAAGAGCATAAACGGACAATCGATGTAGACAACCCCCGTGACTTCGTTGACGCTTATTTGATTGAAAGTGATAAACGAAGACAAAAGAACGAGAACTGTTCTTTTACAGACGAAGGATACGTACTCGTTACTTTAGCGGATTTGTTTACAGCTGGAACGGAGACAACTTCTACCACCCTCAGATGGGGCCTTCTTTACCTCTGCTTAAATAAGCACGTCCAACAAACAGCTCAGAATGAAATAGACCATGTTGTTGGAAGACATCGGCAACCAGATCTCGGTGACCAATCAAATCTTCCTTACACGCAGGCTTTGGTATACGAGATCCAGCGAATATCTTCAGTATTCCCTTTGAGCGTGCCTCATTGTGCAGCAACTGAGACTCATCTCCATGGTTACAGAATTCCTAAAGGGGCTGAAATTCTACCGAATTTATGGTCTGTTTTGCACGATCCGGTAATATGGCCTGAACCTGAGAAATTACGCCCTCAACGATTTCTGGACGAGGGCATGGAGAATGTGATACGACCTGAACGGTTTATTCCATTCGGCATTGGTGCGTAAATACGAGTTGGGATGTAATCGTTCAGATATTGACCACACGAGGGCGCAAGTCCGCGTAGAGCTTATATATCTGAACGATAAACGACACAAGTGCGTTGTCTGGAGTTGGTACTAGCCAATCAAAAATGTGTACACGTGTTTTTGTTTCTCTTGTTCACAGAATATTAGAAGTATCACAGGTGGACGACATACATTGCCTATATCAACTTTTATTATAGTATTTATTGTTATACTTTAAACTTGGCAAGATCAGAATGCCAGTGTCTGCCATAATTCCTCGTGGATCAAAGAACAAACTGAAGAAGTTCGAATTAGAATGTTGAATGTTGTTTTCAGTGTTAACTTCGGGACTTAATATATCAAGGTCATATGGCAGTGCCTTTAACAGTCTCTAGAAA